TTCAACCTTTTGTCTCTTAATTATTATATCTTTTTTTATCTCATAGTTATGACTTAGTATGTTATAATTTTAACATTTTAATCTCATAAATGTAACATCATAATTAGTATTTACCAATGGATTATTTTTTTCATATGTGGTAAAAATGGACATTTATTTGATAATTAAATATTGTGGAATATTATTAAATTTTTTTCCCTAAAAATATTTAAATGTACTTTCTTCCTGTGAAGGCAAAGCTGAATTTTTAGCAGCCATTACTCCATCCTTTAGAAATCATTCTAATATGATGATTTGGTAATAAACATTTTTTTATTATTATCAATACTATCAATTATTTTTTAAATAAAAGAAATAAAAGCAATGATCCAAGTATTAAAGGGACAGAAGCAAAAATTCTAAGGGCCATAAAAAAACGTAATTATGTCTTCTTTTTCTTTTAAACACACACACACACACACACACACACACACACACACACACTTAACTGACTTTATAACTGGATCTCAGAAAGTATGCCCCTTTAAAAAAAAGTGATTTCAGTAAAAAATATGGATGAATTATAGGAAGTGTCTTTGATGTATCTGGGCTGCAAACTTTATTTATGCCTCTAGGAAGATGTTCCATGACAATTGCATTAATTACTTCAAATATCTACAGCACTTTCCGTTTTTTGCTCCAGGTATCTGATGATGCAAGAGGACCTCAATTTCTCATTTGTCGAGATCAAATATGCCTCCTAGATAAAGACAGACCTGGTGTTTCTGAAAATAGACGAGTCATTTGACATTTTATTAGGAGATTAAAACATGCACCTTTTTTTTAATGAACTACAGCAGTGCTAAACATCTTATTTCACGCCATGTCTGGTTGATTTCACATATTAATGTTACAGAAACACCAGAGCGCTGGATCTATGGCCTGCAGATATTAATAGAGCCATTAAGACTTGGACTGCCCTCTTTCTTCCATAATTTTAACAGGACACTGTGTTAGTTTAATCATAGCCTTTAATGTCCAAATAGCCACGACCACCTTGACCAAATATTACTGCATATGTCATGGGTGGCACAACCTTTTTAGAAATATACATCAATACTTACTTATTGTATAAGACAATATCAGGCACCCAAATCATCTCTGACGGGACTCTAATAGACGTCACATTATCAAATTCGGATGGATTCCAGCGCAGTTTATAATCATTCCATTCCTGCAGAGGTCAGAGGGTAAAAAAAGTCACATTTGGCCATATATAGTAAGTAATTATATATGGCTAAATAATAAAAAAAAAATAACATGTTGTATAAAATCTGGTAAATGATATATGAACAAAATCCTCTGTAAAAACCTTAAGAATATAGTTAGGAATAAAACTATAAAACTTGGTGTATGTAAGTGCTGCTGAAGTTACCCTTGAGGTTTAATGGCCATTTTATAATATATACGGTACATAATTATTGTATTTGTTTTCGCTATATAGTTATTTGAAGGGTTCATGAATTATATCAGTTGAGCTTTGACTATAATATAATTTATTAATTAATACAATTAAAAATAAAGACTGTTACCTGTTTCAGCCAAACGTTTGTTGTCATCATTTGATTTTTCTCATCCTGTAGAATATGTAAGCATCAAAAATATATACATTTGGTCTGGTAAATTAATAAATCCCACTGATTTACACTAAAGGCGGGAGTCAAGCCGAAGCACCACCCACATTCATCAGAAAAATGAATGCATTCAAGATGGTTTTATTGCACTGATGCTTTTAATTTGCGTTGTTTTCCACTCAATTATAACCAGGACTCTTTCTTGTAATGATTTCAAGGCGAGCATCAAAAACATGCAAAATATCAACTTACCACATCAATAAGCTGGGCAATCGAGAGGCCAAATTTGACGATAACAACATCGCTGATGTTCTGCACGGGTCTGGACCACTTATTGTATCCGATGAAGAGTTTTTTAAAGAGTTTGTCTTCTGCATATGCATGCTTCCAACCGTCTGATAATGCTGCAAGAGACAAAATAGAGAGTTTCTGACAGGTCTTGATCATGCAGCTTTATTTGACTCTGTGCCATTGCAACTTTCAGGGACAATTAAGATACTAAATCATACACCTTTTCTACAGTTTGATATGTCTGTATAAATGTTAAACCTTGTACGATATGATACACAATATGCTTCTCAGTCTTAGAGTCACGGAGTCGGTCTGTAATTAATGTATTCTTTATCCTTTGCTCAGATTTACATTTATGTTAGGCATAGTAAAAGCTGTTTTAGCAGTTTTCAACCTCTGAATATTTTCTTTCAACTTCCATGTTCTCTAACTAGCTATTTTATGTAGAGTCCTCTTATTATATACGCAAAATCCCTCTGGGAAATAATAATAATAATAATAAAAGAAAAATTTGGTTTTATGTAACATTTAGTTTTTATGGAAGTTTGTTTCCGCCATGGAATAATAATAATAATAATAATAATAATATTTTCCTTGAGATATATAGACTAAATTTACAATTGCAAGAAAAAAGTCAGAATTGTGAGATAAAAAGTTGAAATTACCTTTTTTATTTTCCAATTCATGACGGAAACTATAATAATTCAGAATTGCGACTCAGAACAAGAAAAAAAGTCAGAATTCTGTGTTTATATATTGTAATACTGCCTTTTTTCTCAGAATTGCAAGAACTGTGAGATGGAAGTTTGTTTCCGCCACGGGAAAAAGGTGTCGCAATTACCTTCCATACGTTTTTGTTTCAGTGTTTTAGATTTTTGAAGAAATTTTAATTCTAACAAAAAAATAATAATAATAATTTTATGAGTAATACAAGGCATATTTGTTAAAGGGGTCATATGATGCTGCTAAAAAGAACATTATTTTGTGTATTTGGTATAATGAAATGTGTTTATGCGGTTTAAGAGCCGTTTTAGGTAGGCGTGGTTAACTCTTAACTTTTATAAAGAATATCTCTTTGGATTTGAGACTTTAGTCTTTGCAACTTTACAGATCTTCTTTATGCACCAAGAGCTTGTAACACTCCAAAGAGAAAGGAAAAATTGAAATCGCATCATATGACCCCTTTAAATGAAAATTATGTAGGGAATAGAATTACATTTAAAACGTGATTCCACAAACTTCCAGTTTATGCTCCACTCAATTCTGATTTTATCCGAATACAGATACTGATTGTGCAGATACAGATTGACTCCACTGCACACCCCTAGTGACAACTGATGAATTCTGCACTGTAACTGATTACAAAGTGTCTGATAAATGTTTTGGAAATGTACTGTAGAAGATGCACAACACTGAATAGGTCACAGTTGAGGTCACTCACACTAACTGAGTTATGGCTGGGTAAAATAAGAGGCTGGCCGAGCAGAGCCGCCTCCTCACTGTAATTACTATTCGTTCCTTAATCACTGCAGTCAACTCTAATTAATCCAGCCGTCCAGTGATTTGTGATGTTTTTTCTTAGAGGGTGGAAACTTCAGATTAGAAAGCTGAGCGGAGTCACACCGGAACAGCAACCAATGCAATGCAAAAACACCGAGTGTGTTGAAGTGAGGTCAAAAAAATCAGAAAAAGCTTTTTTTTTGCATTCCTTTCAGTAGGATACAAAAATTAATATTAATTTCAGAATGTCTATTTGATTTAAGAATGTTCCAAAGAGCTTTAATGCAATGCTTTCTGAGACTTTTAGTTCCCACTATAATGTATATGAATAAGCACTGAATTTTTTGCTTAAAATATTGACAGTGGACTTAATATAACATTAAAATATGACAAATATAGACTTTTGTGCAAAAATCATGGTTAAATGTTATTAATATGCATTTCAAGTATCTGATCCACTGATATATGAAGATAAAAAGACATTAACACTCAATACCTCATCTAAAACTTTTTGATTATACTTTGCATGATACAAAATACAAATGATTTGAAACACGAATGAACTGAATAATTCGATTTCCATAATCCATAAAATATAATTTCATTAATTAAAAAGAACTGTGCACTTACCAGGTTTAACGTGTTCCACAAAAATGAAGAACAGCGACAGATTCTTCAAAAATAATTTGAAATGATTTTGCTCCATATCTGTGTGCAGAAGTCTAGAAGCCTGAGAAATGGCCTGTCATGATTGTTGCAGTGCTGCTTGGGCTCTGCTATCAGACTCACTGAGCGGCTCTGACGGACTGGGAGCCAATGATGATGCCGTGCGTCTCCACAGAGGTTCAATGGGAGGGGTTTACATTGTGAAATAAGTCTTCAGTTTGGTACTATAAAGGACCAAATGCTCAAAAATGAAATTATTAACTTTTATTAAATATAAATAAATACATATTTACATGACACAATTTGTTTTAGGATTAGCCAATCAGCAAAAAGCACCGCCTACTTTGAGTTGAGTGACGTTCGAGAACAAAGAATTAGGCTACGTTATAATTCGATTCATCATATATAGCAAAATAAATCGGTACAATTAATTAATTACTTATTAAATAATTTGTTATGCATTACATATAATAACTGTATTTTTATTATATTTCACTATTTATATTATTATACATATTAATTTATGTGTTATGGTTTTTATGATGTTATGATTTTAAAAACATATTACTGGTTTTGTGAAAATGCATGTTATGAAAAATTGTTGTCTATAAAGGATTTCTTGAAATACTGCAAAATAAATCGGTACTTTTAATTGTTGACTTAATAAATAATAAATAATTTGACAAAAAATCTCTCTCTCTCTCTCTCTCTATATATATATATAATTGTTTTTTTTTTTTAATGATTATGATGTTATGATTAAACGTCTCGTAAACGCGCCAACTGATCCGCGCCAGTTTACCGTCGCCTGCCTTTCAGCCAATCAGGAACGAGTATTTGACGAACGTGACGGCAACGTGATTAATATTCATTAGCTATTACTCTACCATAGTAGAGCTTATTCGTAGTATTTACGCCAGAGTCCGTCACGGGGTGGGTTTATAAACTGTAGCAGCGTCAATCCTTACAGATTTAGTTTACAAGTTGATAACTCTACTGCTGTAATTGTGTTACAGCAATCTCCTTGCGACCAGACATCAGAATCTGCACATCAGGTAAACATAAAACTTCACCGAACTCAACTTTATAATACGGCGCAATTAACTCTGTACTGCAAACTCTGTATGTTTTTGTCTTGGTAGAAGTGGCAAGCAAGTATGAAGTTATAACAGAAGTAATATTTTCTGCCCTGTGTTTCTTTTTTGACCAGAGACCAGAGACTAGTTTTGAATAAAATAAATTAAAACTAGTTTCCAATGAAGAAGGCAGTGTTGTTTAGTTTGTGGGGTGGTGTTGTTACACCCCATCTTACTCAGACATTTCAGAAGTTTGAAGAAACTGCTGGTATTTCGAGGTAAGTGACTTTTATTGGTTTGTTTGTTTGTTTATGATGTAAAATAACGTATTTCTATTTTAATATACATTAAAATGTAATTTATTTCTGTGATCAAAGCTGAATTTTCAGCATCATTACTCCAGTCTTCAGTGTCACATGATCTTCAGAAATCATTCTAATATGCTGATTTATTATCAGTGCTGGAAACTGTTGTGCTGCTTAATATTTTTTTGGAACCTGTGATACTTTTTTTCAGGATTCTTTGATGAATAAAAAGTTAAAAAGAAGAGCATTTATTCAAAATATAAATCTTTTCTAACAATGTACACCTTTGCTATCACTTCTTAACAATTTAACACACATCCTTGCTGAATAAAAGTTTAAATTTCTTTCAAAAAAAGAAAGAATAAAAAT